TTCAGTGATGCGTTTCTGTGTTCCATAAGTTCTTTTTAATAAAAATATTTGTGGAGACAAAGTGATATGCGAGGGCACAGACCAAGTCTGAGGGGTTCAGGGAATTGTCCCCTATCCCTCTTGCTGCCGAACAGGCTGATGCCACCCGTTTGTCCAGTGATGAAGCAGAAGGGTATGTTACTTCAGTAACGGCTTTGATGGCCACGTGTTAAACTGTCAGCATTCCCAGGATTAACGCAAAATGAGAGTGCTGGCGGCAGGACTTTTCAAGCTGCTTTTCATAGCAGCCGAAGGATCCCTACATACATTACGTGCAGGGCTCATCAAAAGTTTCTCTCTTGCTTTCCGAGGCAAAACAAAAGAAGAACAAATTTTTTCCTTGCAGTTTTGTCGAGCGGGGGGATTAGCAGCATACTAGAAGAAGTTGCAATAGTGTTATTAGCCATGACGGCCCAAATGAAGCACGGTCTGGAGGAAGACGCGATATCCGCACTAGACCAGCTGATATAACAGGGAAGAGAAGCCAACCTCCTTTGAAAGCCAGAAGAAATAAACAGCTGTTAACTCGTGAGCCCTCTGATTCATCCCTGTAATGCATTGCAAAACATTCCAGCAGCAGCAAGACCTTCCCTCTGCTTCTCATCTGTACCAAGGATGATGTTTAACACCTGGAAGCCGTACACTCAGCCTACCTAGGTGTAAATGCGATGGTCAAATCTGACTTGGCCCCTGTATATATGCGCTGAGATGGCAGCTGCCCCCTCCCCGACACCACAGGTTTGCCGGTGATGGGGGGGTGCCAGGCTCGGCCTGACGGGGGGCAGAGGCAGCCAGCCCCGCGGTTGTGGCTGGAGGAGCTGGAAGACCGGTGTCCAGCACGTGCCAGCGCTGGAGGCACAGGCGGCCAGAATGCCTCTGCTGAGGCTCTTTGGCTGGAAGCACTGCAGCGTTACAGTCCAAGTCATTTGACTTTCATGAGTCAGAGTATATTACACAAAAACATCCTGCAAGGAGGGAACAGAGGATGAATTCCAGACACTGACCTTAGACAACAAACAAAACCCACTTTTTTTCTCTTGTTTTAGGGAAGAGGGGGAGGGGAGTGCTTCCACCGTGGACTGGATGCAGGCTATGGATCAGGCTGAAACTTGGCATAATCAGGCCGTCTGCCATCACTGCCATTTATACCCAATGCAGTAAAAAAGAAACATACTTCGTACTGCTGAAGGGCTCTGGGTTTACCCCCAAAAGCAGGCAAAGAACCTTGTGGGCCCCCCCCCTCCCCGATCTCCTGTCTGTGCTGTGACCCTCTTCCTCACCAACCCTGCCGCACAGCGATGACTTTCCAGGCTGTGCAGCACAACCGAGAGCTGCAGCCACTTTGCAGCATTTCTGCCTGGAAACCAGTGGTGAAGAAAAGACATGGAGAGCCAGTTTCTACAGGGGAGATATTTGTCCCCGAGGCCACAAATGCCTTCCATGCGGGCAGCTGAGCTGGTCTGCCTGGCTGTGAAAGCTTCCTCCCCGCCGCCAGTCCTCTGGGGCATGGCTGTGCTGTGAATGCCTGCGTTCAGCGGGCTGCGGGCACCGCGCGTCGGCCGAATGAAAGAGCAGTCACCCTTCATCTTTGCTCAGACACTGGGGTTTCTTTCAGCGTTGGAAAACAGGAAACTGGGTCACGGCGTGGCCAGGCTGAGCGCTGCACACCA